GAGATTGATTATCATCATCTGTTGGTACAGGTGGCTTATTATACTCCGAAAGAATACTACGAGCAGTTGAAACACAAGAATAATAAGAGTTTTGAAATGATTCGCGTTCTATTAATTGCTCATCAATATTTTCACAAAGTGGATCTATTTGGTCTTGCAAAAGTTCAAATTTGTCTAAAAGGCTACTTTCATTTTCTAATCGAGCATCTACCTCAATTATAAGTCTATTTTCTGGTAAATTATCCTTAGGTAAAGCTTTCATCGAATTTGTAGTTTGCAACAAAAAATTTGAAAATAAAGTTAATTTTCTTTTAAGAACGGCACGTTGATTTTTAAGAGCTTTTAATTGCTCCTCTGCCATGATAATAAATGAGAATATTACACTAGCCTGAACAAGTTAAGAATAAGCGTAAAAAATAGGATATTAAGTAGGATACGCTCACCAATTCGCTGCTGGATCATCAACGCAATAATAAATCCAACCTGGTGCTTGGTACACTGTGTAGACGTCGTCCACGCCCACGATGTCCACGCCGAACGAACGTCAACGTCTTGCTCTTGGTTAGGAAGCGGGGAGTTTCTGTGCCGATGCACGAAATCAAGCCTTGCCACTGCCTGAGTAGGTATAGCGATTCGAAGCTTTTTCAAACCACACTTGCACTTTTTTAGATAGTTTATTACTTTAAACCACTGTTTTCTGGAATAATCCGTTTCGATTGGACCAAATGTTAAGAGTTTTCTGTTATTTATCGAATTTGTGGACTGTAGATATTATTATTAAAACTATTGATTACTAAAAAGAACAATATATTTTACTTAAAACGATATAACATAATTATACATTTGAGAAACGTTGTTAACCCTTTGACTGTTCTCAAAACAATGCGAAATCTTGTCTCTACAAGTAAAAAAAATGCCGCGCCACCAAACCGGTGTCGGGTGACGTAATACCCGGCACGGTAGCAGGGAATAAGCAGGTACGGCCTTAAGATTACAGCGCGAACAGTGACGTAATGCGCGAATTCAATTTGGCTTACTTTTGTTAATTGATTGGCATTCCATTTTAAATATACAGTTCACTGGGAAAAGATTATTTAAATATACACGGATCGGGAAAACAAGTACGAAAAAAATTCACTGACTCCTGGACTAGTACTGTATCGAAGGAATTTTATGAATGAACAAATTACGACCCCACTACAATAACGGTCTACTCTAGTTACGCTGTTGTCAGACGTTATTTTTTTTTTTTTTTTTTTTTTTTTTTTTTTTTTTTTTTTTTTTTTTTTTTTTTTGACAATTTAAAGACTTAACAGTATTGCAAGCAAACGTAATTACATTACTACAGTTAAAAACATAAACTTGGCATCAATATTTTATCCAAATATTGCATTTCTGTCGAGGATCATCCGCGTTGACTTCAAAAATTTTGTAATCTGTCTTGGTTATAAATATCTATGGTTAAAAGCACGAAAACTTGGCATCAATGTTCAATCAGATTATTGTGTTTCTACCGCGGACACCACCGTTCATTCTTCAAAAATTTTGTAAATAATCCTATCTGTCTTGGTTATATATCTATGAGTAAGACTCAGATTATCAAAACTTTTTAAGTCTAAAGTGCAATTAATATGGTAAACTATGGCATTATTGTGATAAAAAAACACAAACAAAAAATAGGTATAGAAATATAAAAAGTGAGATTTTTTCTTTTTTAGAAGGGTCAATAATGTTTTTATGCTGTTTTGTTACAAGTTGCTTACTCGTGTACATAATCTACGCGTTTCGTAAAATCTAAGGCAAAATAATAATGTTGCAAGGTTCTAGATAGTTTTCAACATTGAAGTTTGAAAACATGCTGGCCACTGCATTTTTATAGCACAGTTGCAAAAGTTAAACTGCTATAAAAGCTGCCAACTGATCGACTGTGCATTGTACACTCTCTGACAAATAAAAGATAAACTAACAAACTCTCTTGTACTATGTAAAGCTATCTTTGTAGAGGGAACAATTGTCAAAAAGTTAAAAATCAAATGTGAAAGGTCATTTTACACAATCAAAATAAAATGTCTTACTTTTATTTGAAGTATTCCCTTGGATTAGAAAAAGAAACACTTTTATTAACTTTAATCTACACGAGAGTTAAGGCTTAACAAATTTTACTGACTAATATTCGACATAAAAACTAACAAAAGTGTTATATAACATGGATTCAAAACTTAATAGTTTTCGAGAACAGAAAATTGTAACTTACTTTGTTTAAAGATATTAACATGGTATTTTACAAAGTTTCTACAAAAGTAAATGAACTTTTTTTAGCCGATTAAAAAAGAATTCTAATTGCAAGGAAACTGAAAATAATTTATGTGGAAAACTAAACTATTTTCAAGAATATAAGTATGGCAAAGTTGATTTTGCTATCGCTACAGAATCAATCACCTGTAGGTTTAATTTTTATCGAAAATTGTGCTCATATTGAAATTATTTTTTTTATTAGTGTAATTTTAATTATTGTAGATATGATAAAATGAATAATACATTTATTTATAAGTGGATTTTCTTCATATAAGTGGATATTGTAGATAAGCTTTAAACACTTATTAATAAGCAGGAGCGTGACCTGAACTACAGTGAGAATCTGCCTTTTATCTATAATTTAGCATTGTGCAAATGTGTACCAAAAAAGTGTCATTGGCTCTTACACTATTATAGAATCGATGACATTTGTTTAAAGTAACAATGACAGGGGGTAATCGTCGTAGCCATCCCAACAGCTGTAAGGCAAGAATAAGAGAGATAGCAAAAGTGTAAATTTACTGAATTCAAAGGACCCGCGCTTATTTCGTGCACGAGTTGTGCTTGTCGAATAACGGCGATAGAACCTTGTGACAACCTTTGACAACCATTGCTAATTTGGGGCAGCTGATTAAAAAAATAAAAAATACTATAGGGACCGTGCGTCATGACTTTAACGCTAACTGGTGACAAAAATGTGAACTTTTTGGGGGGTATTTATTAATGTTTTATACGGCATTTATTGTTTAATAATTATTAATAAAATGAAGTCGAATTATTTTCGTAATATCAATATTGAAAAAACTTGTTGCATCCGTGGATGTACAAACACATCACTTTAGAAACCTGGGTTTCATTCGATAGTAAAGAAATTTTATAAATTTCCACAGAGCACAATTATGCCTCACACCCAATGATATACATAATTACAAAGATTGCTTATCCATATGTAAATTAGACGACGAAAAACGTATTTCACTGGGCAAAGTTTTCTTTTTAACTAGCTTGTATCAATTTTGAGCACTTAGTTGTAAAGAAATCATTTACAGAAAAATTAGAATCTTTAGTGTTTTCTTGTCATTAAGATTTTTACATATTTAAATGACCATTTTATATAAATAATTTTACAGATAATGGTTTATTCTGTTGATTAAAACTAATGTAGAATGTTATGAAATAAGAATATCCAATTTGACAAAAATATCACGGCCCTCTTTACAATTTATTAACTATTTCTCATTTATTATTAAAATAAACAAATCATAAATTGCTGCGTTTGAGAATCCACATCGGATGCATCTGAGATGTAAAAAATCTTTGATCACGTGATTCAGTATACGTAAATTGCTGCGTTTGAGAATCCACATCGGATGCATCAGGAGATGTAAAAAATCTTTGATCACGTGATTCAGCATACGTAAATGTAATGGGACAGATGTGTCCGATGTGGATAAAAAAAAACGCTCGAGATGTAAAAAATGCATCCGATGTGGATTCTCAAACGCAGCAAATGTAATGGGACAGATGTGTCCGATGTGGATAAAAAAACGCTCGAGATGTAAAAAATGCATCCGATGTGGATTCTCAAACGCAGCAAATAATACATTGCAATTACTGTCAAAAGAGATTGTAACAAACTTTAAAATATTAAAAATCCAGTGATTTTTTGTAAATTTTTTTAGTGACATTACCATTAAACATTATTCAGAATAATAGATAAGTGTCCAATTACAACTCTTACCAAAGTTGTTCATACCTCATATCAAAATTGTTTACATTACCTTTTCAAAATTGTATTACATATTGCAATTATGTATTTTATGTAGAATTGTTTCTGAAATAGTAGTCTAAAATTATTTATATCCATCTGTTATAAAAATTGTTTAGATCTCTTAATATTATTTAACTACATGAAAACTCAACTTTCCAAATACATAATGACATGTCTTGAAGTAAAACTTTAATTATTATCTTTTTCTAAAGATTAAAATGCTGAAATTTTATTTTAACACATTTGGGCTAGAACGGCTCTATTTAGTGAGCACTAGGAAAAGCACATTGCAACCAGCTTTTCATAATTTTTTTATAGTTGGGTGAGCAATCTATAATATATGTATCATAGAACATCTCATAAACGCCAGTGGATGAATGACATTTCGATTAACATAAAGCTAAAAAGATTTATAATTATTATTAATCTTTTTTATTAATTTACATTTTTTAAATGTTATTGTAATACTTTTAAATTCAGTGTTACTAAATACCTATATTTTAACATTGGATACACTTGTTTAAGGTACAACTTTACAATTTATTGTCACTTAGCCATTTAAATCTTTTTGCTTAAAATGTATATGCATGTCCAGATTTTAATAATGTTTCACATTTTACGTCATTTTGACCATGTACACGATTGTTTGGTACGGGCCGGTATCTATTTTTAACTATATTTAATATTTAAAAAAATACCCTTCATTATTTACTTGCAATGTTTACCCCATTTAATTCTAAAATTAAACACTAGAGAGGGCTAAGTTCGGCAGTAGTGATGCCTCTATATTTCACGCACGGTCCCTATGGGAAAAATGTTACAAATGACAAAAAGTTTTAAAAGACTAGTTTTAAAAAGGAAATTCAGTTCACAGATTTATCATGCTATAAAAATCAAGTGTTATAATTGTTTTTATTAAGAAATAAGCACTTACTTTGCTCGAGACATGTAATCATCGTATAAATATCTCTGCCTCTTTGATAACCTACACATGACGACGTGTTCGTATTTTTTTGGCATTTGTTTTTCTACTTCGCTTTTCAGCCTTCTTAACAGAAATGGCCTCAACACCTGAAATACATTTCCAATTTAATTGTTTGTGAAAAAACGTAACAAGTATTTTGTTTTTAAAGAAAAAATAAATCAGACAAATGCCTCGATAATATCATGTAACTGGTTCGAGTTGAATGGATCTCTTACCATCAAAAATGGTAAAATTATCATCATTTAAAAAAATATTACTGTTACTACATTGTTAAAATTTTTAGATTATTTACCTTGTGTAACCTCTTAATAATACTTTCGTTGTATTCGGAATTTCCTTCTATCATCCCCGTAACGGGATTAGAAAACCATTCTTTGAATTCCCGATGTGATTGGAAAACGTTGGGCATTAGAAAATGCATCAGAGACCACAATTCCATCAAGTTGTTCTGTAAAGGTGTACCAGTTAATAGCAGACGTCTGAAAGAAAAATACCAGTAAATTGTTTGTGAACAAACGTATGAAAAGTATTTTGTTGTCAAAGAAAAAATAAATCAGACAAATGCCTCGATAATATCATGTAACTGGTTCGAGTTGAATGGATCTCTTACCATCAAAAATGGTAAAATTATCATCATTTAAAAAATAAAATTAGTTATGATAGACAAAAATCTTACAATAGCTTCTGCAAATTACCCAGATTACTTATTTTATTTAGAATGGCGCAACCAGTAGGAATTGTCAATGTCATTCAGTGTAGTCATATATATAGAAACCACAATAGTTAGGTTTTCATCTAAAATTAATTGAAGAAAATAGAGAACATCTCAAATTTCTTTACAAAACAAAATATTCAGATACAAAGCTGTAAATATACCATCAAGGACATAAAACCTGCAGCTGTGGGGTTGAATTTAGCAAGTTCAATATTGCTACAATCCCAAAGAAGATCCTCAACAATCTTAAGAGACAAATCAAGCAATAAACCATAGAGGTTACCACCAAAGATTAGGAACACATGTCAAATGTCTACAAATGTCTAGAAGACTGATGTGTAATTGGCCAGTCTTCCTCAGATAAGGAATAAGAGATCTAATAACAGGATAAATGTGAGAGTGTCAGTAAGTTTCCCAGACAATAGTATGTAAAATACTGAAAACTTCAATAAAATATAAATTGTTAGCAAGATGAATCCTTTGTAACATTGTAAAAAAAATGTTTAAAGAGAAAAATTCCTTTGCTACAGAGACATTTCAAAGAAATTAATTAAGTTTAAGAAAATATATCATATTGAAAATTATTAAAAGGAGGATGATAATAGGAGATGGACACAAACTATATATAGGTGGATATAAATTACTCAGACTTAAAATAAATAAACTATTCTTACTTTTTTCTATAAATGAAAATTATTACTTCTTTACACATTTCAACGACTACTAAAAGCAATATATACGTTTTAAAACCTAATAATTCTTGTCAATAAAATGTAAACACTAAATGAAGGACCTTACCAGAAGCTTTATACCAATAACTCAAAGAATGGCATGTGAGGGTTCTAATATAACGCTTCCAAAAGTGCCGTTGGGGAACAGTCGAAAAGGCTACACAAAACACAAATAGGGTAGTTTTAAAATAATAAAAAAAAATGTTTGTCCAGATCTCTGTAGTAAATGTAACCATGAGAGCAAAATTATATCAGTTTCAGATAAGTGTCATTAATAAAAACAGTTTTTTAATTGCCTTAGGATCCGTTTCAATTCTATCATAGTTAAGATTCACAGACAATCAAAATCGCTCGAATGAATATAATTTAAATAACTATTATCATTAAAAGAATAATTTATATATTTTAACATATTGTGTAATAGGTTGCATTTTTGTTCACAGAATAAAAATTAATTTTAAATCAAACTCAGCTCAATCCAAATTCAGAGAGATACTATTGATGCCTTAATCACGAATAAAGTAAAAAACGAATTCATTAAATGAACTTCAAAATAATAATAAAAAAAGTATGGCCCGTAATGGGACATAATTAACCCAGATTATTTGTACAAAAATATGAGGAATGGACCAAATAAGTTTAAATTATTGCAAAGGAAAATGAAAGGCTAAAGTTGAAATATTTTTTTAGTTTATGGTAATAATTTCACAACTATTTTATAAATTTTTACCAAATTCGGCAGAGGTAATTTAATCAATGAATATTATTTTACATTTTGTTATAATGTGGCGCCATATGAGCGATAATTGAAGATGAAACTAGATCATAATAAATTGATTTTTTTATGCAAACAACATGAAAAGCATGTCATCAATAAATACTATGTAAAGAGTCTTTTATGTTCCGATAAGATTGCTGAAAAAAAAAAAAGACTGCTTAAATATCAAGACAAGATAACTAAAATTGATAAAATAAAACTTTCATGTAGTGTAGCCAATTCTGTTGTTTTTAAATTGTAACTGTAAATATTATACAACTTTTTGGTAATTTTGACTAAAAAAATATAATGGAAACATGTCTTTTATGTAAAACTGTTATACATCTTTGAATTTGATAATTTCAACCGTTTTGGAGAAAAACATTATTAGACAGTTTTAGAATATCAAAATAATAAAAGTTGATACGCTTTTAAGTGTTTGTGCTGATTAAATTCCTTCACGAGATGAACTCAAGGAAAAATACAAAATGTAACAGTGTTATTACGGAATAAAACTATATTTTTTTTGGCTTTCATCGACAGATTTAAGCTGTTAACCGAGCGGGACGTATAAATACGTCAAACGTAAACAATATCGGGTATGGGTAGGACATATCAATACGTCCTTGATGCAGATGCATGATTATAAGAGGTTCATAACATTTTTTTTATTGAATAGTAATAATTTTCTTGAAAATAAAAAATCTAAATTTGAATATTTTGAAAAATAACTTTGATTTAACACAAAAACTGTGACAAGTCATTTTCAGCAAAACGATGACTTACACTGATTAGCTTCTGAAACCTCCAACTGGTATGTTATGTTATTTAGTATCTAAATAAAAATCATATTTTTTGTAATCTTTATAACTGTAAAATTTATAATTTTTTAATTCAATGTTTCCATTTTGTTGTTGGTATTCGTTTCTATTATTTGTAATTTTGTATAATATACATTTCATATTCTTTTCATTTATTTTAAGCATAAATCATAATTGACAGTCCTCTACAAAGTGACAGCAAAATTTTATTTTATTAATAATTCCATTGTTTATTAAGTTAACAATTTGTTATAAACAAATTCCCAACTTTGGTTTATTTTTTTCCTGAAAGAAATAAAAATTCCAAAAACGACTTAGTGCATTAAAATTACGAAAAAAAATTTATTCCATTTTTTATTAAACTTTGAAAATATACGTACTATCAAAGTTGCAGCAGCTGATCCATTTGTTGACTTAAAAGTTGATATAACTTTTAAACTATTGGAGATACGACAATAAACATTCAAGTCATTTTTGTAGGCAATGAAATTATCTCTCAGATAAGTCATTTGTCAATTCCGTACCTATTGTCAATTTGTTGTTTTTTATTTGTTTATAAAAATTGATTTTTTTTAAGTTTAATAAAAAATGGAATAAAATTTTTTCCGTAATCTAGACATTATTCCGAATCGAATGAGCTATTGAACATAATTTTCGTAATAGTATGTCCCAAAAACACGCTTTTGAACTTGTTGATTAGACTATTGCAGTTAGTAGTCGGTTAATATCGGACCATACAACGATTACGAAACATGGAATTAAACACAAAATGCACAAATCTGTTGTCATTGTCAAAATTGTGCAACCTAGCGCCAGAACCTTTGTGACTGGCCTGGGCGTGACTTAAAGCCATTTCTTGTATCTCAGTAACCATTACTACAGGAGATATATTGTGCTCAACACTAAATTTGGAGTTCACTGAATTTTCGTGTTTCTGCATCTCTTAATTCCTATGTTTTTTTTCTTGACATTGTTGTCACATGTAATTTTTTTCTGGAAAGTGCCGAAAAAAAACGAACTTTTTTGAATCAAAATTGTGAGCTTATTTTAAATAGAACACCCTATAATTTTTAACATCCTCGGAAAGACCATTTCTTTCCCTTTCCAAAAATGTATTCATTGTAAGATTTATTCAATTTTTTTGAGGAAAATTTACTTTTTTATGAAACCATGTCGATAACTTCTAAACGTAAAGTATCACAATTTAAAAGTCTTTAACTCGATAATGTGACAATTTATTGATAAGAGGTTTTGACTAAAATTCTGGGAAATGTTTAATTTTTTATAAAATGGTTGTAAAGTCTCAAATGTCTAAAATTTCGTAAAAGATTACTTTTACCAATTTAGATTAAGGGCTTATGATGAATAAAATTCTTCGTATTTGTAACGTTTATTTGCAAGCCTTTATCCATAAATAATCATTTAAAAGAATGTCTTAAGCGTTTTCAATATGTACCTATATCTGTCTATTTAATATTCCTCTTTTTGTAAATTAACTTACTCAGATTTGGATAGAATATGAATGAGTCAATAAATGATACTACTAATTTATCAAGGGTGCTATGTAAAACAAATCGAGTTGACAGAAGTCTATATTTGTATTAATTAGTGCAAGATAAAGCAGGTATTAAAAAATGTTTACCAAAAGTGAAAAAGCCCGGTGCGTTTTACTTTATATTGAAAGTAGATCAATTACACATACACAAAGAAGATTTAGAAATATGTTTGAAAAAAATTCGCCAACCAGAAATTCTATTTTAAACTGGGTAAGTCAGTTTAAAGAAACGGGAAGATTTTTAAAGAAACGGGAAGATTAGAAAAAAAAGACAAATTGAAAACGCTCTAGATATTATTTTAAACGATGTTATACAGATGAGGGAAATTTTAGCAAGAAACAATAATAAAATATCTATTAGAAAAATTGCCCAATCCATACATATGTCAAAGAGTAAGGTGCATAAAATTTTAAAAGTAATCAAGTTTAAAGCATATAAGGTTCAGACTTTTCATAAAATTGAAAATTATGCATTTGAAAAGAGAGTTTTTATGTGTGAGACGTTATTAGATTTATTTAGACATCAACCAAATGTAAATCTAATAATGTCAGATGAAGCAACGTTTCATTTAAGTGGACGCGTAAACAAACACAATTATGGGATTTGGGGTGACGAAAATCCTAGAGCTTTCAACGAGTTTGAAAGAGATGCTCCCAAGGTAAATGTATGGTGTGGTGTGCCCAAAACCAAAATTTATGGACCATTTTTCTTTCAAGAGGAAACAGTATATGGAAACAATTACACGGATATGCTAGAACTATTCTTTTATCCTCAACTAGAACAAGAAGAAATACTAAATACTATATTTCCAGCAAGATGGTGCTCCACCGCATTACTCTCTTGTAGCCAGAAATTCTTTGAACTCAACCTTTGGAGATAAATGGATAGGTCGGGCTGGTCCCATCGAATGGGCTCCATATTCTCCGGATTTAACTATACCAGATTTTTTTATATGGGGGTATGTTAAGGAAAGATGCTACGATCCAACACCTACAAACTTAACTGAACTGAGGAATAATATAATTCATGTGTTTAATACAATTACCCCAGAAATGCCGCAAAATGCATTTACAAATTTTTTAATGCGTCTGCATACATGTATTGAACAAAATGGAGGCCATATTCAACAATTAATTTATTAATGTTTTAGTACATATTTTTTGTATTCAATAAAAATTCAGATAGGCACCAACATGGTGGGACACCACTTACGCCACAAAAATCCGTGTGGTATGAGGTGCTCCCCTCTGTCTTTATAGGCAAAATATCATTACTTGATATTATTCTGAAATTTATACCTAAGGGACAAGGTAATGAAAAACAGTATCTTAACAATGATTGTTCGATGTAAAACGTCAATTTATATTTCGATATGTGCCACCAAAATATAATAGACACCGTTAACATTGATTTAATTTCCTAAAATTAAAACCTATTAAAGCAATAAAAAAATTATAAAAAATTGACTTTTTTTTAAAAGGCGAAGAAATAAACTATCTAATGACTATGAGAGATACGAAATGATTCATTCGCCATAAGACCTTAATCTGAATTTAATTTTTTTTACGAAAACTTTACAAGTTTAAGATTTGGCAACTATGTCAGAAAAAAATTTAAACATTTCCAAGAATTTTGGTGAAAACCTTTTATCAATACATTGCCTTACTCCCAAATTATAAGTTAATTAATTGTGATACTTTACGTTTGGAAGTTATTGACATGGTTGCATAAAAAAGTGAATGTTTCCCTAAAAAATAAAGTAAATGCTTAAAATTACATGTGGCAACAATGTCAAGAAAAACTTGAAGTAAATGTAGAAGGTCTAGTGAAAACTGCATCTCGATATCTTTTTTAATTCTCGAGTTATAAGTTGTTAAAATGAGTCAATTTATAGATATTTTACTAAGGCTGATTTTGCACAAATCCCAACATTTTGGTCAAAACAATTTATGGTTACAATTTCTAAGTATACCTATTATGATTCACTCAGTATATTCGATCGACATTGGTAAATCATAGGCAAATTATTTTCATCATGGATACTGGTGTATCTAACTATGTTTGATGTAAAATACATTAATACCACTTTAACCGGATTGCCACTAAATCACTCTACTCTGAGTGGTAAATACATAAAAAAATAAAACGAATTTTGTGAAATTGGATTTAGTTGAGTTTAATAATAAATGCCTAAATGTTTCATAAAACGCAAACTGTTGTAGTAATTTTTGTCTTATTTATTGTTTCCATAAAATCACAATTTACTTACTGCTGAGTTTGAAAATTCAACAGCAACTGCCACCGCTGAGACTTGAAATTTTTTATGTTCTGCGCTTCGTCCAAAATCAAATACTTCCACTTTTTCCGCCTGAAACTCTGATGATCTTGAATGACTAGTTTATAAGACGTAATACAAATGTGAAAGGCGTTCGGTTTAGTCCATCCTATCCGTTTGAACTTCCGCTCCTTTTGGGTACCGTAATACGTGAGAATTTTAAAAGCCGGGCACCATTTCTTGCACTCCATTTCCCAATTTAGCATCACCGAAGTGGGCACCACTATAAGATGGGGACCCCAGTTCTCCTTTTCGCATGCTAAATGCGCGAGAAGCGCTATAGTTTGAATGGTCTTTCCCAAACCCATTTCGTCAGCTAGGATGCCATTCAATTTCCTTTCGTACATGGTCACCAGCCAGTCCAAACCAATGTGTTGATATTCTCTTAAGGAGAATTTTAATAAGAACGGTATGTTGGTCGAGACCTGCAAGAAGGTTTTATAAATACCAAAAAAATGAAAAGGGGATTTGATTAATGCGAGTTTAAAAATATCAGACAAATGCCTCGTTAGTCGTCAGGAATAGAATTTGAGTTGAATGGATCTCAATTCTTCAGACGTGAAAATCATCATTAAAATCAATAATCTAATAAATATTTAATACTATCGATAATAGGGCGTAAACATAATGCATTTTTAAAATAAAATCAATACAATAAAAAATTAATTTGATCTCTGGCGTTCCTCACAGCAGGTACATTGGCCACTTGATTTTTATCATACATAAAACAAATATACACACCCTCACAAAAATTATCGCAGCACTAAAATGTTTGCAAAAGTTTGAAATTATTTTTTTTTTTATGAACCGTTTGATCGATTTGGATTTCCTTTTTTTTTGATAGGTTGATTCTTCAGGAATAATATCTACGATTCCTTAAATAAAATTAAATTTTTGAGTGAAACCAGGTGTTGCCAAAATATAGGTTTTTGGTTGGAAAATTCCTAATAGCCTGTTGAGTGTACCAGCAATAACAGTATGTTACAATTCAGTGGCGACTCGTGGTAAAAATTTTAGGGTGTTCTGCAATTTTTACAAAAGAAGGTTACCTTTCAGGGGAGTTGTGGAAGTCAAAGTCCCATCGATTTTATCGTGTTTGCTGAATGATTGCCACACAAAAAAAAAGAATCACCAAGCACTATTTTACTGTACTCTATTTTTTCAAGCCAAATACAAAATGTTAAAAAAAAGACGAGAACAATTTAAATAGATAGTGCGATTTTAGTCTATTTTTTATAAATTAAATCTATTCTACGTTCTTTTCGGTTCGCAAATTTTGTAATAACTTTTCCATTAAAATTGTCTATTTCGGAAGTAAACTTTTTTTCAATAGATAGCATGGAAAAAGCTGTTAAACGATCTACGGTCACTGAATTTCTGAAAAACGTTTCGATTCGATTTAGTGTTGAGAAACATCGTTCGACCTCTGATGTTGTCATAGTCCAGTAACTGAAGACCTGAAAATATGCAAAGCTGTCATTAAGTCGGACCAGATTTCCTATGTGGCTCAATTCTTAGTCTTGACGGTTGCTTTCAAGGGCGAAAACTTTTACCAACTCTGCTGCGTCGGAAAGGGCCCAAAATGGACCCTAAAACTGGTTTCCCGCCAATATCTTCCACAATATGCAAATTAGAGAATTTTTGTTTTGATAAAAAAGAAAGATCTTATCATTATCTACAAAAATGGTCCCTATCATTTTTGTCGGGAATTCGACAGGTTTCGAGATAACCGCAATCAAAAGTCCTCTCGTTCAGCCCCTGCTTTATCTCTATAGCAATGCTGATTAGCTTGTAAACGGGTGGACAAATTGTTTCAGAACTCGGTCAAAAATTGATATTTTTCGATGATTCAAAGTTCATTACAATGGGAAAACCCATAGGTATCGATCCATGTGCCTTGAAGCCCGTTATTTCCTGTCAAGAACATTGAAAAAGGGGTCAAAGTTGCGTTTTCCCACTATTTTGTACCACTTTATTCATATTTTTTTCTTTTAATAGTTTTTTATCCCATTTTTGTTTAAAATGGGATCTTGAGATGTCTCGAATGATCTCAGAATTTTTTTCCAGTATCTTCCTGGCGTTTTAAAAAAAAATTGATTTGTTTATTTGCATTTTTCATACGTTTTCGGAGTTCTAGAAATCTTTGAAACAAGCAGTAATTAAAAACTCATATTTTATATATTGTTATTCAATGCACACCATTTTAAAGCTTAGAGTGTCTACTCTACTCAATGAAAGACGCTCTATTTTCGTACACAACATTAATGGTACTTATATTAAAATTCCAACGGGTTGTAGCGCCTTGGGGATCCTCCTCTTCACAATATTGTTTAAGACTTCTACTTGCTTAGTGTGAATTATTAAAAAAAGTCCGTAATGTCTTGTAAATTTCCAAAAAATACACGTACTTGCGAATTTGCAGAAGTAGCTTTAGACGTAATTAAATTTAACTGATGGGCAAAGCAATGTACATAGTGAGCAAAAGGATATATTTTTTTTTAATTAATGCTTGCACTCCTGCGTGTTGGCCGCTCATCACTGCGGCTCCATCATAACTTTGTGCAATCAGTTTGTTCGGTGAATGTTGAATTAAAGGATCTATAACAGTTAAAATTGTTTTATTAAATGTTTCTGCATCACATTTTTCAGGAATGAAGTAGTTCCAAAAACGTTCAATTGGCTCACCATTGCGAAGATTCTAAATATAACTACCAGTTGAATTTTTGCAGCAACATCCGTTGTTTCGTCCGCCATCATCGCCAAAAATGAAGAATTATTAATTTCCTCAATTATTTGTTCATGACAGACATCGACCATACACTGTAACAGATCGTTCTGTATTTCTTTAGAGGTGCCTTTAAATACCGAAGAATTTTTTAGGTGGTCACTTAAAGTTGCATCTAATTCAGCAGAGAAATTTATGAGTCACGAAATATTCTCGGATTCTCGGAAGAATCGCTCTAATCATGTCCCCGAAGAGCCAGTTCAGAAGCCCCACAAAACTTAATGCAATTAATAATTTTGGATAAAATATACCTATTCTTTGACACATTTTCATTATGTCTCTGTATATTTAACCAATAAGCAGAATTTAATTGAGTCCCTAGCAACGCAAATTCCATGCTATTATGAAGATAGCTTTTAGAGATTTCGTGTTTTTTTATCTTTAAACTTAAGTGTTCTAGATCGGTGACCCCTATTTCCGTTCAAGCTTTATCGCCAACAAAAAGTAGACAGGGAAAACAGTACAGAGCATTTTTTTTTGTTGCATCCACAGATCCATTCGTTTTTTGAATAAATATCTCTATTAAAGTTTCGTGTGTAACTTTTTCCTCTACTTACACCAGTTTTGTCTATAATTATTTCTGGTAATGGCCTACCTTTTGCTTTTAATTTCATATTTTATTCGAATGTATATTTAAAAAATTTCTCTACGTTAATTAAATTAAAGAACACTTCCATAGTACACAGGTAATTGTCAGCAATACACAAAAACACAATACACGCACCCTTAAAATTTAACTTTAACTCGCCGTAAACATAAAAATCGCGACAAAAATCGACACCGTACGTATTACGCACTTCGCTGGACTAATTGCAGCGAACTCTTCACTTAAATCGCCGGTTTGTTTTAACCGTGGGCGCACGGGTAGCAGAGTGCCGCGCGGGTGTTTAAAAGAGCACAGAGAACTCCACCATGTGGCCCAGATAAATAATAAATCAGCGACAGCCTGTGCAAGCGTGTGTATCGGTAGGTAGGTTATTCAACTAGTCGATTTTACGTACACGGACGCCAACGATGAGAATGGGAATATAATATACATATTTTTTGTAATATGAAATATTTGAGTTATACTTGTATTTAGCATTTTTTTTGGGAACTCTGCAGCACTTATTCACCAGCAGCCACTGATTACAATTAATAACCGACTTTAGCCTCATCTTTGGATTGGGATTAAATTTTGTTTAACGCCGACGTGAGTCGGAATTTGATTGACTTTAAATGTCAAGAACAGCGACGGCCACTGTCCGAAGATTCTAGCTTCTACTCCTGCTTGGTGTACTCATTTTTCTTCTCGTTTATTCTTACCTTTTTCAATTTTACTTTGGTTTGTTTTCATTTAGGGATACGAGGGTGTACTTTTCATAATTTCGTAGGGGGAACTGGAGATTTTCATATTTCCAAAATTGTACTTACATATAAACTGCGTACTAAACTGGGTTATAATGAAAGATCAACATTTACCTGAAAAACAGGCCATAAAAGTAATTACCCTGATTCAAGACGAGTAAAGTCAAAAATACTTTCCTAACGTAATTGGGGTTTAACAAAGTACCATTTCAAAAGTTGTAAGGCGCTATAAAAAATTGTTATAAATCTTTGGAAAACCGAGCAGTTTTCTAGGAGGGAAGGTCAAGGACGCGGAAGAATTACTACAGGAGTAGATGATCGTTTTTTTACGAGTTACGGCCTTAAGGACTCGACATTTTACTGAACGAATGCTTCAACACGACCTGCTAGCAGTTAGAAATGTAAACATGGCTTTACAAACTGTCAGTAATCGCCTTTGTGAACATAATTTACGAGGAATGGTTCCAGCAAGAGGTCCTTACTAGGACGCACCAGGTTGTCATGTTATAATTGGCTAGATAGCACGCGGACTGGGGTCTTGCAGAATGGTCTAATATACTAATCTTTGATGAATCCAGATATTGCCTATATTCCATAGACAGATGTGTACCAGTTTACCGAAGGCCAGGTGAGCGTTTTTCTCAAGTAAACTTTCGTAATACGGACATTTTTTGTGGTGGGTCGACCATGGTATGGGGCGGAATGTCTTACCATGGACGTACGGAGCTAGTGGCAGTAAATCAAGGAAGGATGACGAGCGATCGAAGCATTCAGGATATTCTGGAACCTAATAGAATCCCATATGGCCCTTTTGTTGGTGATACCTTCATATTCATGCAAGATAATGCAATAAATGCATAAAACATGTACAGGATTATTTAGAGATCGTATTCCATGTAGAACCAGAGCCACGAAAGTCATTCTTAGTCTCACTCCCCTTGATATATACACCAAGGAAGTTGCTCTGATATTAATGACACGACTCCTCGCTGTTGGAATAGAACCTAATGATGGATCTAGTAAGGCGAGATGTCGCTTTTGGCGGGAAGCGTCTATACGCTTCCACTGCTTCAAGCGAACATGGACTCCATTTCACCAAGATATATTAACAATGTTTGGCGAACTCTCAGTGATCAAACGGTATTACCCGTATCATTTATGCGACATGAACCGTTATGACGTCATTGTATGCTACCGCCGTCATAAATCTGTTCCCGGCCTCTTGAGGTGGTTAACAAACTGTTGATAGTGACAGTTGACATTTTCAGTTTTCGTTCATAGCGTTTTTGGTAG